GAAATTAAGTAGGAGAAATATTTTAATATCGCTATCTGACTTTTCTCTATAATAGAAGTGTCAACCAAATGCATGATCAACAGTGACAGATCAAAACACACACATGTGATTGGCACCAGTGAGAGCTTTATATGAATCATGCATGTGCGAGTCAACTTAGATATATATATAATAAACTTGCTTAATTAGACCTGCTTTCTGATGTAGCTAAAATTTTTTCAGCCCAGTGAAGCACCTCAACTTCTCTTTCAAGTAATTGAATAAAAGAAGTGCCACCAAACTGTACAAGTAGTCATGGGATTTTTTTTTTACCACCACACACTTGCGGGGGGGTGGGGGCGTGGGGAAATCCAGTTTTTCTTAATAATTCCTCGATGAAGCAGTAAAAATTGTTCATTTTCATTATTGACTTTCTCATGCATGTCTTTTTAATATTATCTATGAATCTGTATGCTGAAATGTAGTTACACACAAAGTACTACTGAAACATGATGGTTTTCTCAGGACAAAAGGCACTTTTGTTATTGTCGGAGTTACAAATGAAATGAGCACCTTTTTTCATGGAATTCCATTTTTACTTAGAACAAAGACTGATGTAGACTATGGTTTTTCAGATAGGTATTGATGTTTCCTGAAAAATGAATGAAGTAAGGCTATCATTTCGATAAAAAAAAATGACAGTACTTGTTGCCAGGAATACTGACTGAATTTTTAAACATTTAGAGTTTTGGAAAGTTTGTTTCTGTCACTTATGAGCTTATTAGCTTTCTAATACTTCCCAAGGTTTTCCTGATGAGATTATTGATGATATTAATAAGTATATTTAAAAATAATATGGATGAAATATGTCAACATTTGGAATACCTGCATAGCCATGAATTAATGTTTTTCTTACTGATGAGATTATTGATGATATTAATAAGTATACTTAAAAAATAATATGGATGAAATATGTCAACGTTTGGAATACCTGCATAGCCATGAATTAATATTTTTCTCATGAACAATATAGAATGCTATAAGATCACCCATAGGTAAATGATTCATTCAAAGTGCAAGATAGACCAGTGAATTTTAATGTAATGAAGTACCAAAAGATCATTAATATAGTTTACGGTCTCATAGGCATCACTGTGTTTATAGATTCTCTAATAAAATGTTAACAAGCCTCAAAGGGCAGTATGCAAGGAAATGAGAGAGAGATATCTGATTGAATTTGATTAAAATACAAATATCTTACTTTACTTACTTGTGGAAAGCCTTGTAAGTTCTACCACATTACAATTGAGAACTGTTGAAATACACTGTGAACCGGCCGGCATAGCTCAGTGGTTGAGCATCAGCCTATGAACTAGGTCACAGTTCGATTCCTGGTTAGGGGACATGCTCAGGTTGCAGGCTTGATCCCCAATGTGGGATGTGTAGGAGGCAGCTGATCAATGATTCTCTTTCATCATTGATGTTTCTATCTTTCTCTCCCTCTTCCTTCCTCTCTAAAATCAATAAAAATATATTTTTTAAAAAAGAGAAAAGAAATACACTGTGAGCTTTTTAGGTAGGGACTGACCTCTCTGTTTGAATCCCTGCACCTGGCACAGTGTATGGCTCCAGGAGGTCCCCTAAAACATCTGTTGACTTGAACATTGCCTCTTAATTAGTTAATATTTAATAATCTTCTCTCTAATGACATGCTGTTCCACAAGTTTTGTGCAAATTCATTGTTTAAAATGTAGGAAAAAATATACATATAGTTCCTAGGGCTATTCTACACAATATTTTAAGCAGGGATAATATATCTGATCTGGAAGATTAGCATTAGCCATAATTTGATGTTTCCTTTAAAGAGTGAAAAGGAATCCTGCCTTTGATATCATTTTAAATTCCTCTCTTTTTGTTTTCATGTTTGACACAGCTGATATATCAGAAAATCCTGCCTGCTACACTTTCAATTATAGATAACATTTGACCATTTCTCAGTACTTCTTCTGCTACCACCTTGGTGAAGCCTGCTATCATTTCTCTGCTGGGTGACTGGACTGGTTTCCTAATATGCCTTTCTACTCATCTCTGTCACCCACTGCAATCTATTCTCTACTTAACAGCCAGAAGAAAGCTTTTAAAACCCAAGTCACAATAGTTCCTCCTCTCAAAGTCCTCCAGTGGCTTCTCAACTCACTCAGAATAAAAACAAAGAACACAAAATGTTCAAGCAGCGCCCAGCCTCTCACACCTCTGACTATTCTCTCCACTTGCTCACTACATATATTAAATACCCCAGTGCCTTTGCACGTGCAGTTTCTTCCACATAAAATGCCCTTGTCCAAATATCTAGTATATGGCTTACTCTCTTGCTTCTTTTAGTTTTATTTACTGTCACTTTAAAGCAGAAAAAACTATCTAGACCAGCAATTTTCAACCCTTTTCACCTCATGGCACACATAAGTAATTACTAAAATTCTGTGGCACACCAAAAAATATATATTTGCCAATGTGACAAAAATAGGTATAATGTTGATTGATTTACAAAAAAAAATAATAGTAATTACATATCCTTTTTGATCCAAAGTAACTTTAAAAAATCAAATGTCTATAAATGTATTTAAGAATTTCTGGTACCAAGAACCAGATGCAATCTTATTACATATCATGACCAATAAGATGCAACTCTATTATATGACCAATATATTTATGGTTCAAGGCAGGGCATTTACACCTGAAAGCTCTTGTTCTGTTGAGCATTGTAACTTTTAAAATTTAACAATCTAAAGGAAAAAGAGGTCAGGTATTGCATATTTTAAAAAGTCTTGTGGTACACCAGTGTGCAGTGGCACACCAGTTGAAAATCGCTGATCTAGATTATACATTAATTGCCTGTCTCAACCAGCTTTCTCATTTAAACCACAGGACAATAAGACAATTTAAGTGACTATTTTATAATTCTCTCAAGGATATTACAGGATTGGTATCATTCTAGATGCATATGATAGGAGTTAATTAATTGCAAGCAATGGTAGCTTGGCCTATTAAGACTTCTTTCACATCACCCTGGTTGTGAAAGGCTGAAAAGACATCCTCCCTTGTCCAGATGTATCTATTTTATTAATATCACTTCATGTATAGCTGTAGCATTTTATTACTATCTAAATGTGAGCGTATGCATGTGTACATATATAAATTAAAAATAAGTATTTTTATAAATATTAATATACATATATGTATGTTTATAGTCGGTCTTCCTGGAATATAAACTTCATAAGGGCATGAACATTGCCTACTTTGTCTGTTTTGTTTTATTCACTTCCTAGAGACTAGAGCTCTGAAGATTATTTTACAAGAATTGAGAGCTTAATAAATATTTTCTTAATAAATCACGAAATGAATTAATTTTCATTTTTTTCAAGCAGAATATAAGGGTGATATGATTGCTAAGCAACTGACAAAATGAGCATATTTAGTAATTCTCTCCAACTTGTTTTTTACCCTCAAATTTTAATTGAAGTTTTACGTAGAAAAATTTTTTTTAAAATATATTTTATTGATTTTTTACAGAGAGAAAGGGAGGGAGATAGAGAGTTAGAAACATCGATCAGCTGCCTCCTGCACATCTCCTACTGGGGATGTGCCTGCAACCCAGGTACATGCCCTTGACCGGAATCGAACCTGGGACCTTTCAGTCCGCAGGTCGACGCTCTATCCACTGAGCCAAACCGGTTTCGGCAACCTCCTAGATTTTTTCCCAAACTGACCTGATTCTCTCTCTCTCTTTTCCTCTAGTTCCATTGTAGTCCAGCATATGGCAGGCAGGTATTGTTTCCTCTCAGCCACTTCTCAAACTTCCCTGTCATTTCAGTGGCCCATTCCACTAGGTTCAGATAATGGTTCTAACTCTTAACTTGCAATTGTGCATTTCAGCTGAGTCATATAGCTCTAGATCATTTCTACATGAGAATACTCCCCACTTTAAAAACTCCTTCAAAATGTATATAAATGAGAAAACAAATGTCAAATTGTTTCTTAAAAGCTTACCTTTTTTAATAGAACTATAAAAGGCACTGCTACCATTTTAAATAGTTTTAACTGTTTAAAATTGTTTGAGCCTCATTTAAAAAAATAAACAATCTAGATAAGAGAAATATATTGCCACTGCCTTTCATGGTTACTGAGGTATCAAACAGGCCTGCTTCGTCATAGGCCATCGTATACGTATAGTAGTAATTGTCATATTAACTATTTCATAGCTTGCTCTTCCCAACTTGAGATTGAATTCATTCTTTCCTCTGTCACCATTTTCAGGGAAGGATTCTGCTTTTTAAATGGTAGGTGTTCACAATTTTCATCTCAAAGGAACAAACTTCCTTCCTTTCAGAATATTATAAAACCATGAGCACATTCATTTCAATTAAAGCTCTATTTACATCCTATATGACCCTAAAAGACTACTTCTTATATCTTAGGGCCCCCACAGAAATTCTGGCTGCTCTTCAAAATACTGCAATTTGTTTCTACTCTCTCTCTTCCAAAGTTCCTTTTTACTTATTTAGTTTTTATTTTTATTGTTGGTGGGAAGTGATATTTTTATACCTTGCAGAACTAATGAATAATTCAAAGGAAAGATAAGGTCATTTAGCCATGGGTAGACAACACAAAAAGTTTATCAATTATTTTAATTTGTAGCTTCTTGTTCTGATATTTTCATAGACACATATTCTATCCAAACACCATGATTACAGAGACCAGATGCCACAGCATAGACTTATAACACCCTTAGTACTTACAACTATCACATAATTCTATGAGGGGCTCCACTGTGGAGCTCAAGTGACTACAGCATTCAAAAATTTCACATTCTGAGAACCTGAAGAACCTAAAATGTATAAGAAGTAGATTGCCTACTCACGAGGGTATAACTCAGAGAATCTGTCCACATCTGTCGAATTGGAGCTGCTGAGCTGCTGGCGAATATTCTGATCCTTTTCATACTGAACAAATAATCCGAATAAAACAATCATGGCAACCTCCAGGCCAATGGCCATGAGAGGGAATTTGAACCTCATGTTTGTGGCAAAGGACAGAGGCACACTGTGGGTTTCGCAGGCTGCGGGAGGTTGATAAAAAACAGAAGGACTGCTCTGTGTGTGGACTGCATGTTAAAGGTACACCAATGACATTGCAAGAGAAAAAGCATGGGCAAGACTGGTTAAAATGTCCCGCCCATTGGTGGGAATTATGCTCTGTAATCAAATTGAACAAAATAATAAAGTATACTACATATACTGCAGTATTTTACTGGTTGAGTAGTTCACATTTCTTGCCCTTCCTCTGAGCATAGAACTTCCTATTGAAATAAGCTGAGTCATGAACAATCTGGGAAAATAATTATTTCTCTCTTTAGCTCTTCTCTCAAGCTATTCTTTGTAAATGGAGCATTCTTTCCACACATTCTCTCCCCACACCCTGCACCCGACACACATCATCCTTCAGTTCTTAGATGAAAGGTGACGTCCTCAGCAGCCTTTCTTGATCTCCCATCCAGCTTCTCACTATTCCCTCTCCTGGGATCAGGGCCTTCCTGTCACAGCACTTCCCATAGGTGGTTGTGTGTGTGTTTATGTCAGTGATGGCGAACCTTTTGAGCTCAGCGTGTCAGCATTTTGAAAAATTCTAACTTAAATCTGGTGCCATGTCACATATAGGAATTTTTTGATATTTGCAACCATAGTAAAACAAAGACTTATATTTTTGATGTTTATTTTATATATTTAAATGCCATTTAACAAAGAAAAATCAACCAAAAAATGAGTTCGCGTGTCACCTCTGACACGTGTGTCATAGGTTCGCCATCACTGGTTTATGTGGTGCTTGTTATTTAGCTGGCATGTTTTAAATGGCTGTTCCCCTCACTGGCCTGTTGCTCCTGAAGACAGCGGCAGTGTCTCTTTTGCACAGCATTTAAATTTTTGAAATTATAGTTGATGTTCGATATTACATTAATTTCAGGTGTACAGCGTCTTGGCTAGACTGGCTCATATAATGGTTTCTATAACTCATGAAGTATTGCCCCCCGGTAAGTCTTGCACCCTCCTGACACCATACATAGTTATTATAATATTACTGACGCTATTCCCAAAGCTGTACTTTACATCCCCATGACTATTTTGTAATTACTGATTTGTACTTTGTGATCCCTTCCTCTTTTTCACTTGCAAATCTTTGTTATCTAGAATCAATACCGTGCTCACCACACAGTGGACAATTGATAAATATTATTTGAGTGAATTAGATTAAAGACAGTCTCCAAGAAAAGAAAAAAAACAGCTCAAAGGCAATCCAATCATGTCATGAAGGGAAGTAGAGACAGCCATCCTGTAAGGAATTACGTTTAAGTGATACACATATTGAATCCCAACAGTAATGTTAATAGTGCTGTTCACTCTCTCATTACTTCAGTCAGCCAGGGCTTCTCGTCAGGATCCCTTGGGCTTGAGCAAAGCTGAGGATCAAGCTGAAATTATGGATCTTGGAAGAACCAAAGGTCTGGCAGACGGTGAACAGTAGTGTGATGGAAGTTCTCCTGCCAGTTCTTAACCACAAAAGGAAG